CGCTCCGCGCCCGCGCCCCGCTCCCGGCTCCCAGCTCCTGGCTCCTCTCGGCGCCGCCCCTCGCTCCTCGGTCCCGCCCGGCACCGCGCTCCCCGCGCTCCCCTCGCCCCCAGCCGGATTTTCTCTCCCGCTCGCCCCCCTCCACGCGCTCGCGCGCGCTCTCTTCCCTTCCCAGGATTCATTCACGTTATTAGAGCGAAGGGAGCCGAGGGAAGGGTTCCTGGTAGGACCGAAGAGAGCCGCGTCTCCTGCCACCTCTCTTAACCAACCCGGGACACCCAGCCTTCCTTTAGATGGCCCTGGCGACTCTTATATGAGTGCAATGTGGCTGTGTGCATGTGTGTGCGCGGGGGGAGGGGGGCGGGGAATGTCACTCCTTACCCTTGCGCAGATCTCTGCCTTTACCTGGCGATAAAGGTATAGGCGTGAGTGTGGGAATAAGTGTTCGGGTCAGATTCTCAGAAGCCCCAGATGTGGGTCACAGCTGGGAGACATGGCAAGCCAACCCAGCCTGCGGCCACCCACCTCCCAACTCAGGTGGCTCCTGCCTGACTTAGCTCTTCCAGATTCCCTGGCAGGGCTGGGGGGACTCTGACTTTGGGGTTGAGGGAGAAGGAGAGGAGAGGAGTTTCTGGAGAACAGAGGATCTCTGCTTTTTAGAGGGGTGGCAAGGTTGACATGGAGAAGGGGCTCTCTCATCAGTGAGCACATTGGTGGGGGGTCCTTACTGCTAGAGTCCAGGAACACCCCAGTTGTGTGAGGTTCAAACATTGCAGTTCACAGCCGTTTCCCTCCTCCATACCCTCAATCCCTTTAGCCTTCGCTCTACTGGAGCTTAGCTGGTTTTCCCTCACCTGCTCCCCTTATTGCCAGCCTCTGCCCCAAGCCCTGCTGGCTTCACTTAATTGCCTTTGCTGCTGGCACTATCCCAACCTAGACATACTCCCTTCTTCTGGGAGCCATTCCAGGCTCCTCCCCTTCAAGACCCAGCTCCAAACCCTTCCCTCCAGGAGGCTCTCAGACCAGCTGCAGGAGGTCCTGGCGTCCTTGACTTCATAGCCCCTTTGTGGCTCCTCCTTGGGCCCCGGATCCCCAGGGAGTCACTGTTCTCTCCTTCACTGGATTGTGAGCCTTCCCTGTGTCTGGCATATATGGTAAGGGCTAAACATGTGTTTGCAGAATGAGGGGTGTTTCTTGCCCCTTGAAAACTTATAGTTTGATTGGAAGGAACAGATTGTGTAAATAAAAGGGAAAAAACCACCACAGTAAGATAACCTGAGGACCCCAGATCAGACTGGCTTTTTCCATTAGCAGGAGTTGGCCCCGTTTGCCTTTGGGATATCTATTTTGCCTTTCAGGTCTCAAAGGACAAAGGTTATCACCTCTTTTTTACTTTTACCTACTTGCCACCCAGTCTGGGATTCTATACACAGCAGCTGCCCAGTGTCTGTCTGAGTGGATCAGATGTGAGATGGCTTGCTCTGGCTCGGAACAAGGCTGCCACCTCTGTCCCTAACATCCATGAGGATTAAGTCTAGACTCTGTTCTCAGAAGCTCCCAGAAAGATGAATTGTAAGCTTTTCTTTTCTTTTCTTTTCGGATCAAATCTTTGTTTCAAATTAAATTATAAAGGGAAATCCAAGATAAATAAACTAGGTCTCCTACCAGTTAGCCCTGTAGGTAGGAGCAGGCACGGTGCTTATTGAATGAGGGACCCGGAGTATTGCTGCTACCCCTCCACCCACACCACCCCTGCAGCCCACAGGGCACCTGGACACATGGTGTGAAATCTGACATCTTAAGCCAGCTGCTGGCTTACTCAGGAACATCCCCTCCATCCCCCCTGCAGCCTGCCCCAAGGACTTTGGGAGAAACAAATGAAAGTGAGTCTGATGTTCAGGGAGTGAAGAGCAGGAGCTTCCTCTAATCTCCCATGAGACGGAGGAGATATCAACCAGGTGGTGGGACCCTCTTTCAACCAAGAAAACCCAGAAAACTTCATTCATCCGAGTTGCAGGCGGCCAGCTCTCGCCTGTCCCCTCTCAGAGAAGCATGCAGGAGAGTTGAGAGAGCACTGGACCAGGAGCCAAGACAGTCCCCATCTGGTGCTGGCTCCAGGTCTGACTGGAAGATGGATCTGGACAAGCCCAAACCATCTCTTTAGTCCACCTTCCAGAGTTGTTTTGAGGGTCAGGAAGGCCTTACACTTAGCAGCCATTTGCAGTACAAGCAGTAAATGGTCTCCTGGTCTACCTTTTTGTAATAGTGAGCCTGACACTGTCTAGGGAACATATATTACATTCATTGTTTGGTTTTCTTTAAGATTTTTGTTGTTGTTATTATTGCTCTGCTTTTTGTTGGTTTTAGAGATGATGTCTCCCTCTATTGCCCAGGCTGGAGTACAGTGGTGTGATCATACCTCACTGAAGCCTTGAACTCCTAGGCTCAGATGATCCCTTGCCTCCCCAGCATCTAGGACTACAGGCATGTACCACCATGCCCAGCTAACTTTTTTTATTTTTATAGAGATGGGGGTCTCACTATGTTGCCCAGGCTGGTCTGGAACTCCGGGGCTCAAATGATCCTCCCACTATGTTTCATGGAACTCCCTTGACCACACCTGGGGAATCCAAGGTGCAGAGAAGTTGAATGATTTGCTCAAGATGTCACACCTAGAGGGTGGTAGGGTCAGATCTTAGCTCAGGTCTGGGTGACTTTGAGGCTAGAGTTTTTAAAAACCTCTGGGCCACGGTCGAGCACTGCCTGGCTGTGATGTTGTTACTACCTGTTAATTCGGGGGACCCCACTGGAGAGTTGGCAGTTTGCCTCTCTCTGGACACCCAGCTGGCAGCCATAGTTGGCCCTGAGGTGGTGAAGGTGTAGACTGGAGTCAAATAAGGACTTGACCGCCGGCAAAGGGAGCTGGAACAGACCCAAGACTGTCTGAGACCATTCATCATGCCTGGGTGAGCACAATTTAAATCTGGAAATTTCTGCTCAGCCGGATTAGAGAACTCTAAATGACAGTATTTAACTGCTGCCTGAGGACCCTGGAGTTTTTTCCTGTGTGACACTTCCAGATTTGAGGGAGGGCTATGTCCTTCCCTGGCTTAGGAGGAGGCTCTGGACTGGTCTTGTTCTGGAGGAGCTGGACATTTGCCATCTTTTCCCAGAGAGCTGCCCAGTGTAAATGTTACTTTTCAGGGAGGGGACAAGTCCTCACCTATATTATTACCTCTCTGGACAGCTGAAAGGGTGGGGACATTTGCCAGACACTTGGACCAGTCCCCCCAAACTGGCTTACTCTACACAAGGTGGTTTCTTCCCTCCTCACCAGATCATTTGGGTAATTGCCTCAATTCTTCACTTTATTTTGCCTGTGAAGACAGAGCCTTAATGAGCTCAGAACCCTCAACAATCCCAACTCCGGGGTGCAGCTGTAGGAGAGGAATACAGTGTTAGGCCACTTACACTGCATAACGTGCATGTCAGAGTGGCAGGGCGGCGCAGGGGAGAAGGGAGAGGCCCTCCACCAGCTCCTCCAGCGAGGTCCCCTCTCTGCTGCAGCTCCCAAAGCCTTTATTAAAAAGGTTTGTTTTCCCCTTTGTCCTCTAGAAATAATGACCTCTGTGTGGCAACTTTTTGTAATATCTCATTTCCGTGCCCAAAGCAGATGGCTCTGGTGATTTCAGAGGGCTTAGAGAGGGGATTTGGGGAGCCTGGGTGATATCGCAGGTAGATAGATATACAGTGATTTCGGGTTTCTATAGCTAAAGTTGGGGGATGTGTCCCCAAAGGTGCCGGGGCCTGGCTCTGCCTGCAGGCTTATCTGCAACCCATCCAGGTCGCTCAGCATCCAAGGAGAATGCCAGAGATCCGGGTACTGACAGCCTCCCCCCCCCACCAGATTATGCACTCTGCAAGAATGACTTTCTTTTTTTCTTCAGTATTTCAGTAGGTCCCTTGGAGGGAGAGTGCAGATCAGAATATGCGACTTGGCTTTATGTATTCAAGTCTGTTCCATTTCCTTTGCCTGGCACGGATAGCCCATTCATTTGAGGGGAGGCAGCTGGAGACCCACATTCTTTTCTCAGCTCAGGTGGCACACCCACTGTCTTCACCCCAGGTCAGGCCCTAGCAGAGCAGGGGAAGGGAGACAGTGTCCACTGAGTGCCCTCTGGGTGCCAGTCACTTTGCACGACTCATTTTAGTTAATCATAACCACCAGATAAGGTGGACACCTTTGCCCCCATTTTGTCGATGATGAACTTGGAGCCAAACAGAGTGCAAACATCTGAGCTACAGCATAACCAGGCTCTGTCCACTACTATATCACACCCCACTCCATAAAAGGTGCAGAGGCCACGCTGCCCACTTCTGCCTTCTCTCCATCCTTAGCCAGATGAAATCAAGTTCAAATGACTATCGAAGTCATGTGAGAATGGAAAGGTTAGGAAAGAGCTACACGTTGGGAGCTGGGTCCGGTGGAGCAGGCTTTCCCTTTCCTGAGCTGGTAGGAGTGAGATGGGCTGATGACAGGTTCTAGAAGCCACTGGCCTTGGGAGCTCCCTGCCTCCTTCCTCCTGACTCCTCTGCCCCACGCTGAATTGGTGCTGGCCTACAGCAGAGGGCAGAGGACCAGCCCCTGGCCCACGTGCTCTGTGGC